TATACTACAATTAAAATGTGGTGTTAGTTATAACCATACTAAATTTAAAAAAGTAATAAATGACAAGTTTTTCAATAACCTAAAAGAGAATTTTAAGATTTTTTTTTTAATATATTCAAAAATGGAAAAATCGCAGTGTCCCCTTTTCCTTCCCGACTGTCCAGGCAGTTCAGCCTCCTTCACCACGTCTCCTTTTCCACCGTTCGGGCCAGGGGTGTAAGTTCACGGCAACCTAAGCTCAATTAATTTTTTTACATGCGAAGGAATTATAATGTGAGAGAATTGAGTGATAAATAAAGAAATATATAGCAGTCGTGAGTTCTACGAAAATGTTGAAAAATCGAGATGCTAGGAAAAATTATGAGATTTGAGTTGCAAAACTTTAACAAGGACACGCACAACATTTTTTCCTAAGGGTCCGTTTGAATGCAATGGTGGAAAGAAAACGAATCACAGGGAAAGTAATTGGCTAGAAATTGTTTTGCAGGGAATTGTTAATTTAGTGTGTTTGATTGGTATAATTTTTCACCCAAATTTTTTTAAATTTTGTGTTCGTTTGACTTTGTTTTACATGAAAATTGTCTATTAAAGTGAACAAGCCAAAACCAAGAAAATGGAATTCATTTTCCAAGTTCTAGGGAAAATAATACCAATCAAACAAGGCCTAAGTTTAACATAATGGTGAAATGGACCAAACCAAAGCAAAAAGAAATTGACATATTAAGACTCTTATAACATGGTAATGGGGATTCCTATTGTCTCAGTATTAATTAAGTTGGTCTTTAATCTAAAAAGAACAAATCGGTATTCACAATTTCATTATAGTTAAATAGTATGTCTTCAATGGTAGAAGTATTTTGAATATTCCCTAAGTAAATAGTTATGTCCCGTGATGATTATATATAAATTTGGATCAGTGATGACAGCAGGACGAAGAGGCATTCCTTGTCGAGGTCGGGGTGGAGTAGCATTGTTCTTAAAATAAGACATGTTTACTTAATTATTTATTTTTAAAGATATTTCATTTGTTACAGACTAGATGGTGCCAATATATTTAGGAGAAAGATATATGTACAGAA